CGCTGGGCCTCCGGCACTGCACTGAGCGCCTGCAGCATCTGCTCATTTGTCGGGTTCGCCATCGCTGAAGGCGGACAAAGGCTTCCGCTGAAAGCGGGGTTGTGTGGGCACGGGGGGGGCGACTTACTAAGCTGAAAAGGCTGCGGTATGAAAGCACTGCTTGAGAACCGACACGGTTTAAGAAGCTGACTCAGCTGAGGAGGCCTACCAGGCTCGCATGACACACGACTGATAAAGGCTAGCGGCGATCTTTTGCCGCCATTCAAAGCATGCCGTCGGCGCGCCGCTGTGGGCGAGGTTCCAAGTACCTCAGAAACGCCCGCCCTGAAGAGGCTGCCGGGCTGTCGGCGGTGAACCAAAAAGAGGTGCACTGCACCGACGGGAGGGCGACTCGCTGAGTGGCCAGCAGCTACCCGCTGCACTCAGTGCCTAACGACGGCCGCCCCTGACGCCGCGGTTTCGGGGTCGCTGACCCCGGCTGCTGCGATAGCAGTTGTCGCATTCGTGATGATTGTGGGGGCTCCTGCCCACTGAGCAGTGCCGCCCACAAATCGCCATGCCCTGGGAGAGGCAGCCCTGCTGCGCGCAAGGCATGCAACACATGAGGTCGCCGCGCCTCTCGGGGTATCTCTCCCATCTCTCTGAGTTGGGGGTTGCCCAGTAGGGCCATCCGTGCACGTCTGTGACGTGCAGGTGCGGCGAGACCCTTCTGGCGTGCGTTACTAACGCACGCAGGCCGGGGTACCTGTTATCGGTCGCTGACCCGAGGTTACGCCAATCGTTGTTTTGGGGGTCCTCCCCAGGCTGAAACTGCCAGCCTCGCTGGCGATTGCGACGCTGCGGTCGGGACACGACCACAGTGTTGGCGTTCGGCGCAAACGGCACTGCCGTTGCGGCCTGGCTGCTAGCCAAGGAAACCTCGGAGTCTCCCGAGTTCTGATCACTGTCAGTATCGATAACTTCAATGGCCGGCTCCGCCGCTGGCGGGGTGACGTCGGCAGCTTCGGCCGCGGGCGGGTTGCCTGTTGCGGCCGCAGCGGGCTGGGCAGGGGCGGCCGCTGGCGGCGGCAAGGGAGGGTCCGAGGCTGATGCCGACGCTGTCGGCAGAGCAGTGCTGGACGAGGCGGTGGGGTCGGTACTGCCACTGGCAGCTTTGTGGGTCTTTTTCTTTTTCTTCTCCGAAGGGAGAATCTTGACCCAACCGCCTTTGCCTTTGCCCTTACCCTCTGGGTGCCAATGGAAGCCGCTGGCTTCAACCTTAGGAGCAACGTGGCCCTCTAGGGCGTCCACCCAGTTGAGTCTCCACTGGAGTTTGGGGACATTATCTTCCTCCCCACTGGGGGGCCAGTCAAAAAGGCCGGTATACGGCCAGCCAGGCGTGGCCGCTGGCCGCATAGGCACGTCGCGCTGCGACATAGTATACCGGTGCATCGGATAGGCACTGCCTGAGGTGTCCGGTTGTTCCCCTTGCATCTGCGCAAAAGGGTAGAAGGGAGGCCAAACTTTGGACTCTCCTTCCCCCGCTCGATTCAGGGCTTCGTGGTCGTCGCTGACGACCGCGGGGTCTACCCGCATGGCACAGCTAAGGGCCCAAAGGAGATAACTTATCTCCTGTTGTGCCATTTCTTCACGCATGGCCTGCTCTAGCACAAATATTGGATTACACTGCAAAAAGCGGAGGCAGGAGCGACACTGTCGCACGCGTTGCAGGCATTGTGGCGCTGCCAACTGATTTTCTCGACCGTCCCTTCTAGGGTACGGCGCCTCTGGCGACTCAGCCGCATACGTGCGGGCTGCTTGGTCAACCATAACTGGCACTGACAGTTATATCAAAGGGAGTGGAAAGTCGTCGCTGACGACACCACTGCTGCGGAGCACTACAAGCTACTCTACAAAAACTTTTTGGATCACAGATCCAACTCCAAGCCGAAAGCTGCACGGCAAAGTATGTCTAGTGTCACTCGCACACAAGTGAAAACACTGTTTCCCTTTTTCGACAAACTTTGTCTACACTTTCGGCGGAAAATAAAACCCATTCACGCACGCATGATGGATGCGTGTGGGTGCTTCCGGCGGAGAACCTGCTGAAGGACCTCAACACCTTGTTGGCCAAGCTCAAGGGCTACACGAGTGCTTTTAAAAAGTCGCGAGTGCAGCTTAAGGCATCCCCGAAGGCAGCGGAAGCGGCTTGGCTTATGCATTTCAATTTAACATAGATCATACAATTATTTTTTTTCGTCTTTATGTACGTTTTGGATTGTGGCATGTACATATATATATATATATGTACGTGTATACTCAGGCTCCTGACTTGAGCGGCCCCATCCAAAAGCTGGACGATCTGGAGCATGCTATCTTGGAGTTGACAATGCAGGATCCGAAGAAGATGGACGAGAACGAGTGCAAAACTTACGTGGAGCAGTGCCAGAGCACGTTGCAATCGGGGAACCTGGTGAAGGACATGTCTGAAGAAATGAAGAAGAAGTGTAATGTTCTGCTCAGGACGAACTCTAGCAGCTCGATTAAGTAGATGACGAAGGCACTGCCAAGAAGCGTGTTTGCTCGAGCCTGTCAATAAGTACTTTTGTTTGCTTCCTACGTACTGTAGCTGAAAGGCTGATCTGTACAAAGATCGTTTTGGCCTGGACGGGACGATTGCAGCTGCGAAAAAAGCTCTGTTTCGAGCAATGTCAGATCTGAGATGCATGGGCCATGCATGTGAGACGGTGCAGGCATGCATTATATATGCATGCTGGCAGTGGCTTTTGCTAGGACGTCGCAACTGATCGTTTCGAGATCTTCACCTTCGTATACAATATATTTCTTGATATATATATATATATATATATATATATATAAGGGTTTAGGGTTTAGGGTTTAGAGGGCCAACCTAGGGCCGGTATATGTATACTAGGGATCAGAGAGAGATCGAGCAGGAGAGAGAGAGAGAGAGAGAGAGAGAGAGAGAGAGAGAGAGAGAGAGAGAGAGAGAGAGAGAGAGAGAGAGAGAGAGAGAGAGAGAGAGAGACCGACAGAGAGAGAGACTGAGAAAGGTGAAAGGTGGGCGGTGGTGGGCGGTGGGCGCTTGGGCGGCTTCAGGGGCTTCTGCAAACACTCACTTGACGGCACCGCGCCGCACAGCTTGGGCTTCCGTAACGCAGCCGCAGCACCGGCACCTACAGCCTACAACCAACGCTTTCAAGAAAACTTCCGGCTCTTTCCTAAAGACTCTTTACGGGAACCCTGGGATCTCGAGGTTTCTCGAGAGACCTTGGCCTTGCACTGGCACTCACTGACAGTCTGACAAACCCTCGCAAAACACTCGAAAGAAAGGAAACTTTGACGTTATTGGGGTTGGGTTCCGACAGCATCCAAGCCCAAGACCAAAACGCAGCGCAATCACCGTCACCTATGTACTCTATACGCTTTGTGCTCGAAGTCTCGACGCCTGTGTGGCACTGTATGGACACAGACAATTCAAACAATGTTGGAAGTTAGACAAGTCTAGAGTCTAGAGTCTAGACTACTGTCTAGACGACCGAAGAACTGTATTCCAGGTCAAGCTCTAGTCTCTAGTACTAGGCTGTAAGTCTACTAAGCTCATGGATGAAAGATTTCCCGGGACTGCCGCACTGCCGCCGCCGGTACCTGTTGAATTTGTTGCAGTAAAACTTTGCAACATTAAGTCATTAACATCAACCCAACCCCGACCCTTACCACGTCTTGGCAACAATCGGATGTACAGTTGTTTATCGGATCCTTAAGGGAGGGTGAGGGTGGTTCAAAGAAGGAGGGTCGGAGGGCCGGAGGGTCCTAGGGATTCTTCGGGAGCTTTAGGGAACCTAAGGGAGCCCGAGGGACAATAAGTGATTATTGGGGTATACGGCGGTATACTGTATACCCCTCTCCTAACCCCCTCCCCGGCGGCCCTCCCCCCTTACGGATCCCATAAGTTGTACATGTAATATGACTACGACAGGACTCCCTTCAACCAGTAACCGTAACCAGGATGCCAACTTTCGGAAGTTCCAGAGACACCGTCCCCGGCCCGGCCTTGTAAAACGGATAGGGCAGACCCATGGCCCTCGTGTACTCAAGACGTGTCGGCAGCAGGTGGCATCCCATCTTCTCGAGCGGCAACAACCATCGCTTCTTCGTGTGTGAGTAGTAGCAGCCCGCCCTGGTGAGGCACGGAAGCTTGTTGCCACAAACTGTGTCCATTACATGGGGTTGCTGAGACAAATTCATAAACAAGTGCACGTCTTCGCCACATTTCTCGCGAATCTGCTGCACCTGCATGGAGAATCAAGTGAATTCATATGTTGCTGGCTCTGGACAGTCTGGAGTCTGGAGGCTAGAGATGAAGTCCGTGGCCCTTTGCAAACACCGGCCTTCTCCAGCTCAAGATAGTGCCTTCCGGATTCCGGAGGCAGAGAGGCTGCTTTACTATACTTCATATTTCATGACCCATAGAAGGTATTAGTTGAGCAGCTAAGCATCCAAAATTTCCAGGCGAAAGTATTGTTGCCAACATCAACCAAATCAGCGGCAAATTCAGGCTTGTCAATGTCTGACCCAAAAACTGCATACTGCACACTGCAGTGCCATGCTGTTTCGTTTGTTGCAAACTGTCGGCTATAGGAACCCAGATGGCCCAGATTCGATCATAATGCACAGACTGACCGGCTGACCTCAACCTGACCCGATGGCTCGGCGCCAGCAGCTCTTCAAAAGAGCTCGTGGGTGGCATCTTTCGAGCCGATGCGGCTGCCTTCTGGGCTCGCTGCACCTGCTCACATGGTCCACCGAAGCAAGTCTCAAGAAGTGCGTTGGTCTTCACGTGCGGGCTTGCTGCACTTCACATGCAAGTTCTGCGGCACTGCGGCAAGCACGGTAGAACAACTGGCACAAGTGCACAACTATGCTGTGCCAACGGGCCGACCATCAACTCAAGCTCAAACGTGAATCACTGCGAACTTTGCACTGCCTGCGTGCCCAGCCTCTGCTGGGGGGGCATCATAGAAAAGGGTCGCGTCCATTGCCGGCACACTGAACAGTGTCTCAATCCTCGGCAAGCCAGCAAAACTGATACCAAGCGAACTAGCGAACAGCTCAGCAAACGACTCACCTGCAGTGCCACTGCCACTCCTGCCACTACCATGATTCTACCACCAATAGCCAGTAGCTAACACAACCACATCACTGCACCGCACCTCACCGACCACCCTTCAATGATTCGCAATGATTGACTCGAGCGGACTCGTTTAAACTCGGGCCCCGACTCACTCAAGTCTCTGGTCAGCCGAAGGCCCGGCCGCATCAACACGGAGTATTTTCTCTGCCGGCTGTAAGGCAAACCACACTTGCTCGGACACAGGACTTGTGTCTGTACTGTCCAGTTCTTCAGCAGCTCCCCAAAAACCTCCGTCTGAAACAAAGGCGTTATCTCTTGAATGGCCACGTCAAAGAACCACTTCATCTCCACAACCCAAACTGCAAACGACAAGGCGGTCTGCCCCTGAAACTTCGTTCGTGTGCCCATGGACGAGACATCCGTGCAGCTTGTGCCTGCCACGGACAGTCTGATATGTCTCACGCCGACGCCAGAGCGCTTGTCCCTGTCGGCCCTGAGGGGGCACATCTGGCCGTCGTGCCGATATGAAAGTTTAAACCCTTAAACCAGTATCCTTGTCAGCGAGCTTCGGAATCTTTTCTCACTACTCGCTCTGCTGTCAGGCTGTCTTGAGCCTACCTTTGACCTACGGAGATACGCAGTGAAACTGGTGCTAAATCGGGCATGAGGGAAAATTGAACATTCTGTTACGCCCTCATCACGTACACAGCATTGTCGTGTCACGTGATTCTGTGAAACTTTTTCCTAACTTTTGTACTACTCTTGCTTCTGTTTTCGCATGCTCCTGTGAGCCTTCATCTTCACTTCTCGCACGCTTCTTTAAGCACTTGTGGGACATCTTTATCGTTTTCTTCCTTTGGTCTTCATCCTCACTCTTCTGATGTCCTATAGCAGATTTGCGAATTGCTTTCCACACACATTTGGCATGGACTCACTCCACTCTACATGCACACTCACTTTTTCTGTACGTCGCTGTACGCGAGGTAGTCGTAGTCCATCCTTACCCTTCGGCAATCTGGAAACTTTTGTCGGACTTTTGTCTTTAGTCCTTTCTGTAAACATTGGCTTTTGAATTCATCGTGGTGCTCGTAGTGACTTGACGTTGCCGTGGGACTTTCGTCCTCGTGGCTTTTGTCGTTGCCGTGGGATTTTCTATCCTCGTGGCTTCTGCCCTTTTCTTTTGTGAAACGTTTGCCTTGGCTGATCTCAGCCTCACTTTCGCCTTGCTGGGCGTCTTTGTGAACGCCCTCACTCTTCTTGCTTCTTTAAACCGTCGCCGCAGTTTACATAAGCTCTTGCTCATTCCGCTGGCGTCTCTCAGCTCTTTCTTGATCGAACGGAGATACACTCTTACGCTTCTTCTCCTTTTCAACCTTCTTTGTCTCCTCAGTCTTGTCAGATTTCTTCTCCTTGTCCTTGTCCTTGCTCTTGGACTTTTCCACTGGCTTCTTCTTCTTTGGATCTTTCTCTTCTGTCTTCTTCACGGTCTTTTCTTCAGCCTTTGCCTCTTCACTTTTCTTGGGCTTCTTGGGTTCTGCTCCCCAACTGTCTTTTGGCTTGTATCCTATGCCCAATGTCTCTTGGAAATCTTTCAATTCCTTGTCATACTTGTATGCATTATCCTCCAGATAGCTTCTCACTTGGTCCTTGTAATTGCAGATGTCTGGGGTATGGGTACCCCAGCCAGTATATCTGAATGACCTTTCGGCCATCTTCTGGAAGTAGATATAACATACCTTGCAGAAAATCTTGTGAGCGGTGTTGCTGGCTTCGGGCCGTTCTCCGCTGTAATACATTCGCACAGCTTGTTCCATCAGAGGACACTCAGTCGCTCTGTGGTCGGCTGACTGCTTGCAGTAATAGCAGTTCTGATATCTTGTCTTCTTGTAAGATTCTTCCTTTTGATCCCCTTGGCCTTTGAGCCAATACGGATTCACTTGCCTCTTTGGTGGCGTTCCTTCTGGTTCGCTTGGCTTGTCTTTTGCATGATCAACTTTTGCCCTTGCTGCTTTGTCGATCATCTCATCTGTTGCTTCTGCGAAACGCTCTTGCAGCTTGCGCTTCAGCTCCAACTGCTTTTCTTTCGTGTTCGCTGCACTTCTCTCTTCTTCAGAAATAGCTAACCCTTCTTTGATAACGCTTGGTGCTTTCTTCGGCATCGCTTTGACCTTTGCTGCCGGTGTTGACGGATTACTTCCTTCACTTTTCTTCTTGATCATCGTCATAAGCTTTGCTAAGGCCTGTCTTTCTTTCTCCTTGTCTGGATCTGGCCGCTTGTACAAGTCTAGGTCCTTGAATTCTTCACTTAAGGCTGACAGTAGCTTGTCTGCCATCTGTACAACTTGACCTAGCTGTTCTAATGCGCTTTTCACGTTGTTCGTCTTCTCAACGTCTCCTCTTGCTGCGACTACGTCGTCTTCAAGTTCTCGAACCTTCTTCATCCTTACTTCAAGCTTTTCTCTCATCTCCTTCTTGAGCTCCTTTTCATAGAGGTCCATCTCTTCTCTTGCTTGCTTGTAAGCTTCTTCAGCTTTACGCTCGTCCTCGGTGAGCGTTGACATGCTTTCTATATACTCTTGCACGTCGTCTTCTACTTTTGCCAAGAACTCTGAAGTTCTTATTCCGTACCCTACCGGAAGTGTTGCAACGGGTCGTCGCATTTGTTCCTGCCATAAAATGAACTCACGCTCCAACGTCGACGATGGCATGGCTTGTCTGATAGACTCGATATTCACTTGTGCCATGACCGTTGGGAATATCGACATTGTCTCCACGTTGAACTCGTTTCGCAGGGCTTCTTTCGCTTCTTTAGCCTCTTCATCAGAAGATTGGACTTGGCTTACATCCTCCTTTTTCTCTTCTTTTTCCTTTTTCAATTCATCTTCTTTCTTCTCTCCCTCTTTCATTTCTTCTTCTTTCTCTGCTGGCTGCTCATTCTCTTTCTCTTTCTCTGCTGCTTGATCCTTCTCTTTTTCTTCTTCTGCTGCTTGCTTCTTCTTGTCTTCCTGCTCTGCTGATTGCTCCATTTCTCGAGCCTCTTTTACTTCTCTCTGTTCCACAACGGCGTCCGCTTCTGCCGTAACTTCTCTTCTTCTTTCCTCGGCTGCTTCCTTCATCTCTTCCAGCTGCCGTACCTTCTCAGCCATAATTTCTCCTTGCTCTCTGATCTTTTCTTGGACGTCTTCAGGTATCTTGATGCTTCCTTGCCTTAACGCTGCGAAGTTAGCTTCTTGAGACTTCTTCAACCTTTCTGCTTCTTCTGCCAATTCTTCTGCAGTTTTCTTGAACGTCTCCAAATCTTCTTCCTTCTTGTCTTCCGGCGCTTCTTCTTCATCATCCTTTTCTGCTGACTCGCTTTCTTTGGATTCATCGGACTCTGGATCCGACGCTGCTTCACTTTCCTCCTTTCCCACTTTGGGATTCTCTGGCTGTTCTTCCTTCTTCTTTTCAACAGATCTCAACTCGTACTGCTGATTGATTGCCTCTACCTCCTTCCAGAGGTCTTCAGTGCTTGGCCTTTGTGCCTGATCTCTTTTAAGCACTTTTTCGAGGTAAGTTGTAGCTTCGATGCTTCTGCTACGCTCTGTGATCATATACTTGACTGCTTCGTCACCTGCCATTGCTCTTGTCCTATCTTCTTCTTTTTCTTCTTCCTTCAGGACTTCTTTCTTGAGCAAAATGGCTGCGCTTGCAACTTTATGCATAATCGCTGACATGAACATGCACAACAGTATGCAAACTACACTTGCTCTTCCCAGTCCTTGTTCTCCTTCTTCACCGAATCTTCTTGCTTCAGCCAATGATATCAGCACTGCGGTCGTAACCGTCTGGATAATCCTTGTAATCATCCTTTCATCAAATCTTGGAACACTTCTTGTTCTTGTTCTTCTTACTTCAGCTTCTTGAACTTCTTGTTCACTTGGCGTCAGAAATTCACCTGTGTATCCTAGGCTTAGCATATACTTTCGTATCTTCTCCCGTGTCAGGGATTTGGTCCCTAGGTCTGAGGGATTGTCCTTACCTGCTATCGCCTTTATGATAAGCTTCGGGATTCTTTGGATCCATAAAAGGTCCACTTGTAAATGGCGTGCTCTTCCTAAGCCTTTTCTTGAGATTAACTGTCTTGAGCTTGACGAATCACTGTATAACATCAGTCTTGGCTCAATTCCTAGGATTCTTGTCAGCAATCCTTTCAGGAATACACCTTCGCTTAAGATTGACGTCGCTGCGATTGTCTCAGCTTCGCAAGATGACAATGCTACGCTTTTCTGTCTCTTGCTTTGGAAATGAATCAAGTTTCCATTCACCATGATCACTCCGCATGAAACGCTTTGTCTTGACTCTCGGTCTGCTGCCCAGTCGCTGTCGCTTATCACTTCTATGAGTGCTGGCACTTTGTAGTTGTCCCTTTCGTTTCCTTTCTCACTTCTGTTCTTCACTTCGAGGAAACTTTTTCCAGGGTAACTTCCTTGATGTACCAGTGCGAGCTCTGGCGATCCTTTGAGATACTTTCCAACGTACCTTAACAGTTCCATGTCTGCTTCAACGGGCGATGCGAGCTTTGTTGACAGTTTCTTCAAGACGTACATAATGTCTGGCCTCTCGGGCGCGAGATACAGTAAGATTCCTACTCCTTTTCTGAATGTGTGGTGATCTTCTGTACTCAGTGGTTTCATTCCACCTTCTTTTGTCTGAAACGATCTTCCATTGTCCGCTGGACACGGTAGTTTCTTAGGGTATGCTCCTTCCAACTTGAGCACTTCTACCAGTCCTTCGATGTACTTTGAGTTCATCGTGATCTCTACGTTTCCATCTCCCATTGACTTGAAACTTCTCTTCAGGAAACTCATTGATCCTTCATTCTCATCCATTGCACTTTGATCTTCAATCCTTTGCTTCTCAGGAATTCGACCAACTTCTTGAATTCTTCTTTTGACGCGTATAGCTCCATGTCATCTACATGACTCAGCACGATTATTCCAAATCCTTCTTTGTCTGGCTTCCTTGAGAATAGTGCCGGGAGTCCACTATCACTTGCTAACCCATACTCTTCTAGGTCCATTCTAGGTAGCTTTTTAACTTCCCGAACCAAGCTGCACTGCCGATTCGCTGTCCGGGCAGCGTGTACCCGAGTTCATAAATTTCTCCATCGACTTCGACAATCGTCGGCTCTTCCTGCTCCACCATTAAATAGGCGTCACCTACATCAATACTGCCGAGTGTGTACCCTTCTGAAGATGCGAACAGGGCTGAAAGTAGCTTCACTGTGCTTGCTACGCCGGTTGGCGAAAACAAACTTGCAATGTCCGTATCACCTAACCACTTGAACTCTCTTGCTACCAATCGTCCTCTTCTTCTCCATTCTTTGTCCCTGTGCCTCCAATCGTACACTATCTTTGTCGAGAGAA